GACGGGTGGGATCGTATCGGCATGATGACCAAGGTGATGTTGATTTCCGTGTGTTTGGCGCGATCGTGGGCGTGGAATCATGCTCGGTGACATGGGCCGTCCATGCAAAGCAGCCGATGCCGCCTGTTGATTTGGCGTCTTTGGCCGTGGGATCAACGACGGTGTGGCGCTGCGCCGCGTGGGTGGCATTGGAGGCGGGGAACGCGACCCAAGTGATGACGCGGACCTCGGCTGCTGCTGGTTGTGATACGCGCGCGGTGCCACCAACAATGTGGTGCTGTTGGCATTATTGTCTTGTGGATGTTGGAATTGATGATGATGCCTGTGCGCGGACGATGACGCGAGACTCGATTTTGGACGCGGTGGAAGATGGTATTGCAATGACGACGATGACAATGGTGGCGTTTTCGTGGCTTTTTTCGATTTTACGGATGGCAAGCTTCCTTTTCGCGAATGACCGGTATTTGTCGTTGGAAGCGTCTCTTGGCTCTCGACGCTTGGCGAGCGTGCGCGCAAGATGGTGCTCTTTGTTGGCTTCATAAATGAAGCCACGTCCTTGTTTGTGGAGGAATGGGTGGAGGTCAGGGGTGTGGCGGAGCGGCGTGATGGGTGATGTTGATGATGCGCGGCAGGTGCCGACAGCGACGCGCCCTGGTTGCCCTGGTGACCGGCAGCGCGGCTCTCGCTCTTCCAGAGGGGCTCAAATGACATTTCGGTGCTTGTCGACTTGTAACTCGCCTGCCATACAGGTCGTCTGCGCGGTGTGGCGCTCTTTCGACCCGAATTGGAGGGCACGTCTTCCGACGATTCTGACGTGCTTGCGATGAGCGTGGTGGACCTGTGCAATTGTGGCAATGGCGACGTGGTGCGCTGGAACGAGAGTGGACTGGTGGTGCGCGAGGTGTGGTGGTGGTGCCTGTTTGTCGTGTTGCCGCTGGCGGGAATGCGCGAGCGGTGCGACGGCTGGTGCTGCTGCTGCTGTTGCTGACTGGGTGTCACGCTGCGCACGCGCCTATCATGATTGGATGATGGATGGTCGCTTGGTGAGGAGGGCTGTTGATCGGACGGGCGGCGCCGCAGGCTCTTCCAGCGGCCAGAGATGCCGCCGCTGCCACCACCACCTCCGCCACCACCGCCGCTGGAGGAGCTGGCCTTGTCGCTCTGCACCGAGCTGGCAGGGCTGATGGGCGTAGTGTCCATCAGGACGCGCTGGACATGGCCCATATCGACGCGTAGATCGTCCATGGCCTTTTTGAGCATGTGCCACCGCGTGATCATAGCCTCGTGACGTTCACCGGGCGCCGTGGTATCCTTGGTGACGCGCGTGGCAATGCCATTGCCCAACATTGCCAGCATCCGGTCGATGGACGGGGTATAATACTTGTATTTCGCCTCCATGTTCCGCTCCAATGCCTTGAATTTGTCCGGGTCCAGTGGAGGTGGCTGTGGTTGCTGCAAAGGAGGATGATGATGATGTGATTGTTGCTGCTGATATTGTTGATGATGATGAGGGTGCGTCAAGTAGCGTGAGAATGATTTCAGCTTGTCGGACAGACTGGGCGAGTGGGGCGCAATGGCATGATTCGGATGAGAAGGGTGTTTGTTGGCCGCCGCATTATTTTGGTCGTGCCACTCTAGAATCAATTGGACCGAATGGACGCCCTGCTGGACGGTTTTATCCAGGCCATCAATCATGGAATCGACTTGATCGGCTACTTGACGAAAGACGACGAGCCAGCGGTCTTCCTTGATTTCGTCCTTGAGGTCGTCAATCTCGATTCGAAGACATTCCCAATGTTCTTGGACTAGGCGGTGTTTGCGCGCCAATTGGCCACTGTCGTCCGAGGGCGGCTCAGACGTCATTCGATTGTAAACCTGCTCTACCTTGCGAAACACAGGGTCCACGCGTTCCTCGAGATCCATCAGCAATCGCTCGTCCATGACAGACGCTGGCGTCGTTGTCGCTGTTGCTGCTCCCGTTGAATTCATGGCGGCGAGCTGCGGTGAGGACGCGGGCGACGATTGGAGTGACAAGGACGCGTCGGATGTTGAGGATTTGGACGATTTCGAGGTGACAACGAGGGTCAGCAGGTGCGCGTGCCTACGTTCTTGGTATTGGAAGATCATGGACGTGAGCTGGTCCATGTCCCACAGAATATCTTGCATATCCATCAAAAGTAATTGTCGATCGTGAATGGCCGCCGCCTGCTTGGCAACACTCAACATAAAATGATGCACACCGGCCCACTCGGATTGGATCTTGGTGATCGTCACGCGCAGGGCCATCCGCGCTTGCTCGTCGTCGTCGTTGGCGCCCGTGCGCGCTTCCATCTGCTCCTTGACCTGCAGCAGCTGCGCAAGTACCATTGCCATGCGGTCCATGTGGCCCTGCAGCACATCCACATGGACCCCAACACCATCCTTGATCTGCTGCTCCATGTGGAAAAGCTCAAGATGTGCTTGCTCCATCCACACGCTGATCAATGGCTTCACAATCGCCAACTGCTCCATCACAAGCGAAAACGTCCACGACGACGGCGCATGCTGCTGCAACACCGCCATCGCATCTTCAATGGCCTGGGGTGGACCGGGGCCACCAGTGCTGAGAGAAAAAGTCATAGACAAAGCGGCTATCACGGACAAAAACAGGTAAAAAAAAAAAAAAAAAATGGGTCAATTTAGCCCCTTCTCTTTTTTTTTATCGTTTCCATCCTTACGGAAAAGAACGCGTGCCGTGAGTTTGTAAACAAAGCCGGATGAGAAGAAGGCGTGACAATTGGAAAAAAAAAATAAAAAGTTGCAATGGGGTGTACAAAGGTCGGACGAGGCTGGGCGAAAGAGAGTGAGAGAGCGAGAGCGAGGAAAAGAGGGAGCGTGTATGGGTTTCGACCGCGATTTAAGACATACACTCCAAGCGAGAGAGAAAGAGAGAAAGAGTCAAATCACACACAGTCTGAAAAGAGTGCGACTCGACAGGCTGAAAAAAAAAAGAGGGGGTATAGGGCGCGGAAAGCGTGAAAAGACAAAAAAAAAAAAGGGGGGGAAGGAAGAGGTCAAAGAAAGGAGAAAGCGTGATTGCCCTATTTTTTGCTCTCCAGGCAATTGCGCCCGACCACGCACTTGCCAAAACAGGCATGTTGCCCCTCAACAATTTATTGCATTTTCATTTTATGATTTAGAGCGTGAGTTTGATCAGCTCGTCGCTGACGCCACTGGGCGTCAGCACACCAAGGTCGGTGAATAGCAGTGTGATGTACGTGGGCGGCGTGTAATCGACGGTAGGATTGCTTGCCTCGAGGTCGGCGTGCGATGCAAGCGCGTCACCCCACGTGCTGCTGCGAAACCGCACAATTTCAGGCAGACCGCGCCTGTCAGAGATGTCATACTGGTCCAATGGGTCCATGCGGATGAATTTGAAGCTAAATCATATATACACGCGTCAGAAATACATTTTTGTGAAAAAAGGGGGGGGGGACTTTGCCTCTCTGCAACCACATAAAACGGCTTGTTGAGCGCCTGAGCCACCACGGCCGCTTGGTATGTGCCAATCTGCAAATATGCATGATGATCAGAAAACGCGCGCGTCATCCCCTTTCCTTTTTCCTTTTTTTTGGGGAAAGGGGAGTATCTCCTTTGTTTACATTATTGATGATGCCGCCATTTTCAACGACCCCATGACATCCCGCAACCACCATGTCCACCTTGTCCATAATATAGCCCACCACAGCGTCGCCAATGATTCTGTGCTGAATGCGCTTGGATTGGAGAAAGTGCGCAGCCTGTCGGCTGCGGAGAAAAAAAAAAAGAAAAAAAAGCGCGTGAAGCACAAAAAAAAAAAAAAAAAAAATAGTAAAAGCGGTGCTTTACCCTGCGTCGCTCGGCGCTTGCTCTGTAACAAACACTTTGAATCTCTTTTGCTCAATGTTGGCCGCATAATCAAGCAGATGCAGCGCCGTCTCGCAGGGAGCAGGCAGCAGAATCACAGTGTCATCTTGTACAAATTTTGCCCCCGTCCTTGCTGCCAGGTGCTTGCATAAGCGTACACGCTCCATGATCGGCACAATCCGCTGCTGCACCTGCTTTTTAAACGACACCAGCGATAAATCCTATGATATAATACAATCGATTGAGCGATGGTGATTAGAGGAGCATGTACTTTTGCTCGTCTTACCGTGTCTTCATCTGCGCTGCGATTGACGAGCGTCATGAACAAATCATGGCCCGCTTGGATGCCCACCGACATTTCCATCGTGTTGTGCATAATATCTTGCACACGATACAGTTTGGCCATGAATTCCGAGATTGTTGTTGCTATGCAATGCGTTAAAAAAAACCATCAATCAGCACATCGCTTCTAGGCCCCACAATGGATGTTGTTCTACCAGACGTGTGCTGGAAAAATTCGTTCATGGTCTTGATCATCGCAATGGACGGCTCCTGCAAAGACTAGGTCAACACCACTCGCAATTCAAGCGCTATTTCTACCTTTTCGTCCAAAAGACACGCATTGTACGTGCCCGCAATGTCAAAAGGCGACATGACATTCATGGGATTTATAAGAAAGAGATATGAGCCAAAAAAAAAAAAAAAAAAAAGCGATAACCCAATCCATGGCCCAGGGTCCATGGGGTTTCACTTTGCGTCGGCTGATCGACGTCATCCTTGCTTTTCTTTAGGCTGCATTGATGTACTTTTGGAGTATGATAGTGCGCGTCGCCTTACAGCTCAAGGCGACAGATCAGTTGCCTTGCATCTACGCATAATGGTGCCAAGTGCACACGTGACACCCCAACGCCAAAAAAAAAAAAAACACGCACAAATCAGCACGATGCACACGCGCCAGTAGCAAAATGATCATGCCTGAAACAAATCACAGGGGCAAAGAACGCGTCAAATCACCATCACAACAACTTTGTATTGGCAAAATCTAAAAAAAAAAAAAAAAAGGCAAACCACGATTTTTGACGTGATCCGCGCGCAAAAAAATGCAAAATATGAAATCCACCAAACCTGATTCGAACAAGTGACCTAGAGATGACGTTGAACACTACAGTCTCCCGCTCTACCAACTGAGCTATTGGTGGCACATGTTTTGTTTTTTTGAAGCTGTTCTACAGAGCCCAATGTAAAATTTTAAAAATTGGCGTCTAGCTTAGTGGGGGACTGAAAATGTTTTTTGGCTACATTGTAACAAAAAAAATCGGCTTTATTTAATTAGTAAAAAGGGGCGCATTGGTGAGGAAAAGAGGTGATTGCACAGCCAAAATGGAAAAAAAGAGCTGAAAAGCGCCGCACTTTGCAAATTTTACCAGCCCGTGCGGAGTTTCATTCTCCCCAGCCCGCAAGCCCGGCAATTGACCAATCAGGAAGGGTCAGTCCGGCACCAATTGGCCAATTCGAGCGCCGGAAAAAAAATGTGCAGAGGAACAAGGGCAAACAAAACAAATTGGCCCATCTCTTTTACATTTTTTTTTCTTTTCACTCACAATCATGTTTGCCAGAGCCTTTGCACGATCGGCCCGCTTGACGCGCCCTGCCATGCTCCGTCGCGGTGGCGGCGGTGGTATGCCCATCAACGAGCCCGGCGGTGTCCTCTTCAACGACAAGGTGAGTCTCCAGCCACTTGGCAACAATTTAACAAAGAGAGTTTGCAACCACTTTTTGCCAGCGAGCACATGGGCGAGACCAAGCGAAACGAGCGAGCGAGCAAAACGACCGACTTTTTCGCTATAATTGCCGTCACATCTGTGATTAACGGCGCCATCTGCGACGGAATCCTCTGCAACTACACACGTCACGAACATTGGGCCGGCATGGAACCCCAAACGAACATCTGAGCCTCCGATGACGACGACATTTGCTTGAAAATCCACGGCGCACAGCCTTTTCAAGATTCTACCAGCCAATTGAGCAACAACACAGCCTTGCACAGCACAATCACAGACCCTGGAAGCTCAACGACATGGGGCTGCTGCCATTGCGACTGCTATCGCGGCTGGTTTGCATAAAGCTGTCATTTGGGCAATTTTGGCTTGGTGTGCACCGACAAACACTCGATTTACACGATGTTCGCTCTCGCTCCATGGGACTCACTCGCTTGTCGCTGCTCGCTCTCGCTGCTCGCTGCTCTGCTGATAAAAAGAAATTGGGCAAAAAAAAAAAAAACAATTGTCTGACACACCTCTTTTTTACTTTTTCTTTTAATTTCAATCTAGGGTGCTGCCAAGGAAGGCTGGGAAGACCTGTACTACTGGGGCATGGGCGGCGGTTTCGCCTTGATGACTGTTGCTCTGATCTACAAGCCCGACTCCAGGTAAGCGAAAAAGAAAAAAGGTGAACGAGTCTACGCGCGGCCAGGGGCTCATTTTTTTTTTCTTTTTAAGCGTGATGACCTGGGCCAAGAAGGAGGCTGAAAAGTCTTTGAAGGAAAAGGGCGTGCAGCTCGAATACCCTAAAACCAACTAGATGAAAAAGCCAAGTCATTTTGTATTAGATCGAATCAAGAAAAAAATTAAAAAAATCATCGACTCCTTCCCTTTTGCTACCTATTTTTGAGTGACATGGACTTTGATTCGATAGAAATGCGCTCATCTAGCTGCATTTTTCTGGTTCCTGGCGCGTCGGCGCGGCTCTATAAACGCATTTTTCATGTGCAATTCGCGCTTGAGTTTAAAATCTAAAATCACGAATTGTTCGTTAACCAGCAGGTCGATCCCACTCGTTTTTGGTGTTTTTTCGTGGTTTCTCCCTGCAGTGTCTCTTGTGGGAAGGTTCGGGCCTTCGAGGGGGGGGGGAAGGGACATGCAGCATCTGGCAATTTCGTCGATTTCAAAAAAAAAAAAAAAAAGCGAGAGAGCATTGTCGTGGCGTGTCTTGCAACGCGTGCAATTATATTTACTCCGTGCGACGCTTCGCACCGTGATCACCAGTCGCGTCGTTCACAGCACACAACTACGTTTTCTTTTACGTTGCGTTTTTTCTTTTAAATATCTCTTTTTCTTTTAATATTCTCGGGAAAAGGATAGATACCGCGGTGAAAGACAAGATTGTTGCCACGGCGCACCGGAGTGTACTGTAGGAGGGTTCGGCGCAACTGGTCTATTTTTTTCAAAAAAAAAATTAAAAGCCATGAGTACTGTATATCCTGAGACTTTACATATCATGTGGCGGCCGCCATCAAATGATGCCATTAGGTTATTTCGGCTTGTCGCTAAACCCGCGTGTCGACCAGGCAGGTCATTGTCAGGACATTTGCAAACTATTGTTACGTACCGTACGTAGTGCAAATTTGACGAACTTTCACAAAAATGACCTTGGGTGCTTGGGGTCCTGTCGTTGACTAAGCTACCGATATCACCTATCAACGCGCGCAAAAGCGCAAATGAATGAACGAGCCAAAGTGTGAAACCCGCTTGTCTGCAGAGGTAATTTGGACCAGTTCTCTTTGAACCTGCTGATATTTACACAAATGCAGCACTGGCTCACGAAATAATTTGTGGGTCGTCGTCGTGAAACTTGTGCGATTCGAAAGAGGCGCACTCGGGTATCATTTTCAGATTGTTTACTACTTGCCTAGGGTTGTTAATTCGAGCGAGCGAGACGAGATTCACCTTGTCTCGTCTCGTCTCGACAAAATTTTGGGTCATCTCGATCTCGATCGAGATTCGAGCGGGATTCGAGAATGTCACGTGACAAAACTCGAGCATTATTCTTCAAAACTTTGCCTCGTGGAGTGAAAAAATCCACCAAAAAAGTCAACACAAAGACAAGGGTTGAACCTCTCAACTCCTGAGTGCCAAGACAAAGCCTTTTCCTATTGCACCACACCACTTAATCTAAAATGCATGATGAAACATTACACCTACGGTAACCTAATTTTTTGTTCGAGATTCGAGCGAGACGAGCGAGATTTTACATTCTTGTCGATCGAGACGAGCGAGATTCAGGTCGTCTCGATCGTCTCGATCTCGTCTCGAACTCTCGAGATTTTCGAGCGAGATTCTCGATTTAACATCCTGTCATGGTCCGACCCACTCTCACTCCTCGGCCCATGATGATTCTGTCGTCGGCGTCGACGCGTATGGCCTTGCTGGGCGGCGGCGCTTGGCATGGGCTCGGCGTGGCGAGCCGCACGACGCTCTTGTCGAGCCGCATAGCCACGTATGCGGCGTGGTGCGGGTGGCAGCGAGCTTGTGGGCGTAGAGGACGGGTCAGTCATGTACGGTATGGAGGGTGGAAGCCTCTTTTATTTCAACACGAAGAGAGAGAGAAGGGACGAGCGATGCTTGTGTTGAGAACGGTGAAGAAAAAGAAAAGAAAAAAAGGAAACAGGCAGGAAAAAAGGTAAGGAAAAAAAGAAGGGAAAAAGGGGGGAAACAGGGGGGAAGAGCCACGGCGTTGGCGACCAACGGACGGGGGTCTGCCACCGAGGTCGCACAGCAATGCCAAGCGGAATTAGGCGGGATTGGGCGCGTCGCGTCGCGCTCCGACGCGTAAAGGAAAGGAAAAAGGAAACAGCGATTGCGCACGATCCAGAGGTGCCAGCGAGATGGGGAAAAGAGCGTTGAGAAGCTGGCGACCTTGGGCGTGTGATGGAGGTGGTTTGGTGATCGGGCGAGAAGAAAAGTGAGAAGAAAAAAAAAGAATTTGTCCAGATGGGATCATGACACATCCCTACTGTATACTTGCCCGATGGGCGAACGTTGCATGCTTGCAAAAGTCGATCAAACATTGGATTCATTTTTATCCTCAATTTTCTCGTCAGCGGAAACAACGACCCATGACATTTTAAGGCGTTGAATGCAGCGGTTGAATCTCTGTCAAACAAGACCATTTTCAACACGATCCGATCAAAACTGACGAAGAAAAAAGCCTTTTGGAACAAATTCTGTAATCGGGCCATTTGCTCAAGAAGCGTCTAATTGACCCCCGATTTTTATTGCAGACTTACTAACAAATAGGGGGGGGGGCAAAGCATCTAATGGGATGACCTGCAGGTGCGCGCTAGCTTGGGTTTTAACTTTTTGCATCGGCCATTTCACCAGTCTGCAACAACCTGCAGGCTGCAGCCCACTCAACGCACAAAAAAATTGTGCAAAATAAAAAAATCCATGCAATCCACCACCTTAATTTGGAAGTGCCAAACCTTAAATTTTTGCAAAAAAGTCTAGCCCAAAGTAAGCAATTTTTGTCAGTCGATCGCCGTTCATGCGTCACTCTTTGGGCATTTTTCTTAAAGTTGGGGCGATCTGCCATTTTGTCTGCTAATAGCAAATTGTCGAAGTAACCTGTTTGAGATGCATTGATCACTCGGAGTTCGAAATTTCCCAAATTTGGCATTTTCTGAGATTGAAAAGTGTGACCCCTGAGTGACCCCTGAGTGACCCCTGAATTTTCAAAAGTGATCGTAGCGCGTTGGGGGTTTAAGCTTTTTTGTTGCAAATTTCGTGCTGAATGCGATGCAGCTATTTTTGAGCGGGTCCGACCATGCAGACGGCGAGATGAATGCAAAAGAGGAGATATTTGGTGTTTTTGGAATCTGTGTTCTGTGAGCTCAAAAAAAATCGGGCGCACCCATCCTGTGGAAAGGCGGTAGTTCATGTCTGGACACGACTTTCATCTGCGAGCAGGTAAGCTGTAAAAAAATTTATGGAGGCACAGCAAGCCGGCAAAGTCGAGAAAACATACTCTGTCGATTTCTAAATGCAAACGAGTGCATTTTGTGCAAGTGTAGCGCAAAGCTGTGGGCGTGGAAATGGCAGCGCTCCTCTGGTTCTGTTCAGAGAGATGAAAAACCCGGACGGATCAAAGCATCAAACACTGCATCTGTGTGAAAATCCAAAACAAACACAAAAACTACTTGAAAAATTGTGGGACAAGAAAACAAGCTCGTCGCTGAGATTTTGAGGTACGGAATACTGTAGTCCCAAAATGAATGATCCACGTGCAATAATGAAGCCAGCGCGCCAGGGCATACCAGAAAATTTCGCAAAGTTCAGAAGTTTGTCTAGCGAAAGTGACATACAAAACGCAATTTTTTATTACGCGCACCGGCGACATAGCAAATGGACCATAAATTCGGGTA